CGCCATTCACTCCACTCTTATGAACATTTCCTCATTCCGAGGCATCTGATACTGCTTGTCTGACTTTCAGTATATCTTAGGGTCATGAAATTATTTAGTAAAGTTAATTAGCGTATACACGCTTATTTAGTTTCACCCTCTGCAGTGAATTGTATTCGAAACGATCAGGTTAAGAGGGAAATCATGTATATATAAGGTTAATATTTCATTCCCCGCTAATTACAGTTCTTATTTTTGGCATCTGATTTATGCGGTTATGATAAAGAACTTAATAATAATAATAACAATAATTTAGAGTCTGCTTATGGATGTATACATAGTACAAGAGGGAATTAATCGGATTATGAAAATTGGACACTTAAAATATACATGATTTGTATATGAAACAAATCTGACTGAGAATGATCTACCTTTCCGCACACTATAAAAGTATGAGCGTACACATTCATATTTTCTTGATCTTATCTACAAGTCATTTTTAATATATTTTACTGAAATTTAAAAAATTAATTTTATCTAAAAATTTAATTAGTTTCTAGCTCTATTCTTATCAAATTCAGAGTATACCTAATGCAATAACATCTTTCCTCCAACATTTAATGAATCAATAATAAAAGAGAAAAATGTAATTAAAAATAAAAAATAAAAAATGTGACTCAGAAATAAAATTAAAATAATTTTTCTCCCTCTATATTATGAATAGGGCCAGAGAGAGTAAGGCTCAGGGTTATAAACTTGTGATAGTTCGTGACTCTAACAGGATTGACCACCACTAAAAACTAATTAAATTGGGGTTAATTAATTTTGTTTGGTCATCTTTCGAGAGTGCACGTGTTAAACTGTCATCCACAATTAATGCACGTGCATGCATGTGTATTGTATTGCTCATCCATATATTTTCCAGAAAAAATTATTTTGGACCAAATTAAATTTTAACCATATATAAATTTATTTTCTTTTTAACATATAAATTAAATTAAAATAGTAAATTTAATAAACTGAAATTTAATGTGAATGATTAAAAATTTATGAGTAGAAGTAGGAAATCGAAGCCAGATTTAGAAGAAAGAATGAAAACGCCACCAAATTTTGAGCAGCTTCCAATTAATTAGGGCTCAGTTAATTAAAACCTTATTGAGGATATACCTATTATATATTCCAAAATTAAATATGCAAAAGCTTCCCCTTTTCAGAAAAGATGTATAAATTTTAATAAGAGGAAATATTCAAGCAAGCGTCATGACTCACCGGTGGGATCGTGTGAGGATTTTTATTATGATATCTTAGAATGAATTATAATATTTTTTTTTAGAGTTGTACATGTTATTGTGCCTTAAAAAAACCAGCCAATAAATGTTGGTCTAATTGATAAATATTTTACATATAGCTCACAAGCTTGTAGTTTTAAATACCAATGTCAATGTAAAAATATTATTGATAGATGATTTGTAAATATTTCTGTAAATGTTTTGAACCCTGTGTCTAAGTCATAATAAACTTTTAAAACCTAACTTGTCAGAATTTTTTGTTATTAAAAAAACTGGCTTGTTACTAATTATTTCAAGTTAAGTATTGCTAGACTTAAAATATTAATAGTTATCTCAAGATAATTTTTCCCATCAATTATACTTACCAAATGAAAATTCTTTCAGTCTCAATCCAACCATGTATAGTTGGTATTATATTTTTTTTCTTGAATCAAAGATATTTCTCATCAATGATCGGAAAAAAAATATAATCAAGCTGGTTTCATATAAAATATACTTATTTTTTACTATGAAAAAAATAGAATGAAATATTTATTTATGAATTTAAAAGAATGAGGTTGAGGGAACCAAAAAATTAAACAAATAAAAAAGGACAGGAATATGCATAATAGGGACATGACTAAAAAGAACTGCAGAAAGCAGGCAAAACAACAAAGTGCTGAAATCAGATATGATTAACGAAGAGGACAAAATGATGATAAAATTCTTCAGATTCTTTAATTATATTAATAATTCGAAACTGATTGAGGAAAAGGATGATATGGTCAGAGCCCCACGAGAGATCTCATTGGATTCTCTCACGAATGTCAGCCTCACCTCCCATCCATGGGTAACCATATGCGTTCATTAATTTTATTATTTCAAATTCAAATATTTTCACCTATCCAAACAAATATATATATATATATATATATATATATAGTTTTTTACTTTTTTATTCTAACGGAATCCAAAGAAGACTTTTCCCCGTAAATAACTTAGGCCTATTTAATAATTTATTTTAAAAATATTTTTTTATTATCTAAAACATAAAAATAAAAAATTATCTGATAATATATTTTTAAAAAATATCCTGAAAAATAAAAAAATAAAATATTATTTTAAAGAATAAAAAAACACCTTTAAAATATTTTGGGATTATTGTTTTAGAAAATAAAGAAGAATAAAAAAATCTATTTTTAACATTTTTTATTCTCAGAACATATTTTATAAAAATATTAATTCTCATAATAATAAAATAAAAATAATTTTAAACAGATATTTTGTTGAGTTTTTCCCAGCAGCCTCTATAGTAATTCATATTCTCAAATTCATTAGCGCAACTACTAATTTAATTCCCTGTCATGGTGTTTGTTCACCTAGAGGAACAAACGTCATGATTTAGTATTTAGTAACCTTCGATATAACCCTATTTGTAACATTCACGAAAATTATCTGTTACTGCTATATTTATTTTTACTACAGTCATATGTATGGTATTGTAAAAATATAAATTTATTTTTTGCAAAACATAGTATTGCACACTCGTAATATTTGAATTTTGTCGCATTTGTTTGGTTTTCTGTTTTGAAAATGAAATTAAGTGCATAATTATTTTTTGGTTGATAACCACAAAATCATATTTTGGTGGAAGTAGCTTTTACCAGAACACGATTTTAGATGTTTCCAACTGGAAATCAAAGTACGCTTTAAGACTATTTATCCCTCCCCTTATGTTCCCTTTACAACACTTCAATTTAATTATAATGGTCGACCTGAAAACAGAAGAGATCAGTGCCTTTTACATATGTCAGGGACTCAAACTTTATAAATAAAAAAAAATTGACTTATGTACTTAGATTTATGTATTGAATATATTATTATCAAATCAAATCAAAACATGTGAATTTAATGTATTAATAATATTGATAACAAAAATTTATTACAGAATAAATAATTTATAAAACAACACACATGTATGAGATTATATAATTGAACATAAGCATTTTAAATATATAAGATCAAATATATAAATTTTTCTTGTAAAAAAAAAATACATATCTGGAGATATGCTTCTTATCCAAGCTTGACAATGCATAAAGCCTAAAAATAAGTTATTAGTCATGATAAATACCAGACGATTATTGGAGAAAGTGAATTTAATTCAAATGATTCAGAAATCCAAATTTTTTAAAACTTGGTCAAATCTGGGCAATTTGGAAAAAAATCTAGTGGGCCCAAATTTGCACCACATGTTTATCTTTAGAATAAAATCGTCTAAACCATTATTTTGAATTCTTTAAATTTAAATTTTAAATTTTGAACTTATATTTTTTTACAAAAAACGTATAAGAGTTTGATTTCTTATTTTATATTTTATTTCCATTGAACGGAAAATACAACTTTGTATCCGTGAATAATCTACCAATTAATAGACGAAAATTACGCTACAGATCTAAATCAAAGCGGGGGAAAAAAACGTGTGTGCTTGTGTGCGTGGGATAACGATAACCGCACATTAGTCTCATACAATGAATTAAAGAAGGGGCAGTGGTGGGCCCTATAAAGTTTGAAAATAAATAAACTCTAAAAGACATTGATTGAGCTTTATAAATCTCATATATAATATTAATAATTCAAGACAAACAATAGTGCCATACGGGCTAGTGGGGTTTAATCAGCCCTACCAATTACGCTTAATTTCCCTTAATTATTGGTCAAAAGGGATAACCTGATCATAATTTGAATTTCTCACACAAATTTTGCAATCATACCTTGGAAAAAAAATAGTATAAAGTATATCTTCTGATTTAGACAACTGAACATTTTTCCACTTCTATAACGACACATTAGTATCTACTGTCCACGCTGAGAGTTTTAAGTTGTCGTGTAACGAGCAACATGACCTCAAAAATAAAATCACAAACACAAATTCAAATCACATGCATATATTCATTGTTATCAAATTCTTAAGTTTTTTTTGTCAATTAAATTAAATTCCTGAGTTTACTCTATAAGTTTATTATTCTTATATTTATAACTTATAAAATCATGTTAATTCGTTCATAAATTTAAATTAAATAAAAATTAATTAAACTTGCAAGTTAACTCTTTAAATTTATCATTTTTTACGTTTTCAATTTATAAAATGATATCAGTCTGCTCACAAGCTCATTAAGCAAGATATATATATATATACACACACACATTATGTAAAACTTAATTTATAGAAGTGGGAGATTTTGGTTCAATAAAAAAATAAAACTTAAAAAAACAAATATTAACATTAATAAAAAAACAAAAAATACCAAAAATAAGTTATCATATTTTAAAGTTTTTACATTGAGTATAATAATTTATAAATATAGTTAGATTTAATTTTAATAATTTATATTTAAAATATATTTAAATTAAATTATGGTTATATTTTATAATTTAATTATTTAATTATGTACTTTTAAAAATTATTTATTAATAAAGGTGAACTTTTACAAATTTATTATTTGAGTTTATATTTTAAATTTACATTTCTATCATGAGTTTACTTAAATTTTTGAATTTAACAACCTTACATATATTATGTTGAGATTGTCCAATCTATTTTATTAAATTAGTTTAAAATCATTTGCACATTGATTAACGTCGTGTAAAAAATATATAATATTAATTTCCTAACTATCAATTTTAAAAATAATAATTTTAATTAAAAATAAAAAAATAAAATCAGACTATGTGGACGGAAGGAATTAAAGAGACAACGAAGAAGGGTTTAATTTGCTTTGCGGGCATATACAAAAAGGAAAGAATATGTACGACTTTGCCTTTCCTCATGTTCACTGAAACAAACAAACTGAAAAGCTTGCAGAGATATGGAAACTGAAACCCATAATTCACGAACCTCGGATTGAATCCTTAAATCATACTAAAAAAGTCCGAGAATATTCTAATGATTCACATAACACAAACCAAAACCATTACATTAATCTGCACTCATCACACTTTAATTCAAATGTCAGGAGATTACATCTTTTCTGTAGGAGAGCAAAAAAAAGAAAAAAAGAAAGAAAAAACCTAAATTTAGCCATTCCCAGCTAAATTAAGAAGATTATGCAGATAACTAAAATCTCAAGACCATTGCCGTTAATAATTCCCTAAGTAAGACCAATTAACCACTCCAAAAAAAACTCTCAAGCATTAATTAATTAACACACCTCTCATCGTTTGCTGGGGGTAATTAATTAATTAGAGACCAGTTTAGAAGAAACACTTCAAAAGCGCCGTCTTCTGAAGCGAGTGACAATCGCGATCGCGATCGCTATCATATATAACCAAACTATCTAACCCTAAAGTGTATCAACTCTGGAACTAATTAATCAAAGTTGAAATCAAACCGAGATATTATCAGGAAGAGCGAGGAAGAAGAAGAGCTCCAGGTCTGGCGGTGCGAAGAAGGAGATGGGAGACCTCCGACGTGAGCAAGTACCGGAAAACAGCGAAGATGGCTTCTTCTTCTTCGGTGCCGGAGGACAAGTGGCAATCTCCGGTATTCGAAACTTCCGGCCTTTCGGAGTGGAGCAGCATGAAGAAGAAGCAGAAGGACGAGGTTCGTCCGTAGTAATTATCTCTGAAGACGACGACGACAAAGAAGACGGAGAAGGAGAAGGAGGAGAATCTTCTGAGGACACGTCTGGAATTTTGGAGATTTCTGGAGGAAGAGGAAGGTTCTGGTTCTTCTTCTTGAGGTTGTGGGTTCTTGTGGCCTTGAGGTTTCGTCGTCGTAGTCTCGTCGTCGTCATTGAGGAAGAAGAGGTTGGCGCCGGAGGTGCCATTATTTCTGAGACGATCGAAGAGGAAAGGGAAGTTTGAGCGAGGGGTTTAGTGGTTTTATATATATATATATATATAAAATAAATTGAGGAAAATCTGGGCAACGTGGGCCCCCACTGCCCGCTGCCCCATGAATAGTTTACTGTTAGTTGTAAGAACGTCAGATTCCTTTTCTTTTCTTTTCTTTTTTTCTTTTGGAGAAGAGAAACCAACAAAAATAAAATCTTCTCAAATGAATGCAGTTCAAATAAGGAAGTAGGATAAGAAAAGAAGAAGAGAAAAGAAAACCAGGCGTGAGTTGTACTCCCTCCTACTCACTGCATTAGTCGTCTTCTAAAATAATTGGATAGATCTAGATATTAGTTATTTTAGTTAAAAATGTGAAGTATTAATTAGCTTTTTTTTAATAAAGAAAGTCTTATTTATAATCAATAGGTTTTAGTCCTAGTGGAGGGGGCTATAACCGCTCAAGTACGAAGTCTTAGAAATCTGACTTTTAATTTTTTTAGAAAAATCAGCTTTTAAACTAGAATAGAGATAAATTTAAAGTTATTTTATTCTCATATCATTAGTAACAATTTAATTACCTCTCATTATTAAAAATGTTAGGAATAGTCTATCTAAAAATTAGAAGAGGGGTAAGATTTGGACTTCGATTCAAATTTTCCCTGTTTAATCTAACAAGTGAGACATTAGGAGAGGATCAGAACAGAAAATAAATCTATTCTAGATGAAAATAAATGAGTTTTGTGTATTATTCGGAGTTAGAAAAATATGACGTTAATTCATTTATAGCTTATTATGAAAGTTTTTTATATTAATGATGATTGGTTTAAAAATTATAAGTTTTTTGTAGATCAGCCGATGAGGTATGATGAGGGTGAGGAGACAAGACTTACCTCTTTCTCTCTGATCCTTCAACTAATCAACAACTTAAGGAGATGCAAATAAAAACTAAGCAACTTTGGATTATATATCCAGTAATGTTTTGATGTCACTCTTAATTCCAAATTTGGTGAATTGTTATATTATAGGAGTATTTGATTTTTTTTTAAATTCCGTAAAATGTAATTTTATAAGAATAATCCACATGAAAACATTCCGATTTATAAGTTGTAAACCTTCAAATTATATAAAAATGCAATAGTTAGGGAGTGAGTGATTAGAATTAGAAAAACTTGATGCATTTTCAAATGCTCCTTGTGTAGGGGATTTTATTAGTGGTTAATTTATAATTAATTACTTACACAAACGTTCTAAATCATCAGTTTTTCGAGCACCAGCTTAGATTGTCTGGAATTGATTACATTTTAATTTTATGTTTTCACAACTTTATATTTTAATTAATAACAAATCTTAAATAAAGATAACTTTTTTAAATATCATTATGTCAAAAATAGCTATTTAAAAAGTTGCTAGTTAATGTCATAACAAATTGCCAATTATCTTTGACCTAAACCATCTGAATTAGATTTTTATTGTCAAGTTCCCATCAAAGCAATAAGCACTTGAGTATCCAAACCACACTCATAAATGCTCTTTGAACAATAAAATGCCCTTTTCATTTCTATGTATAAGAAAAAATAAATGCATCACATAATTTAAAGAAATTAATTATTAATTATTAGCTGTAATAATTATGTTTGAAAATAAAAAATTTAGACTAAAATATCTCTGCTAATCCAAATAAGGATACATTCATTTTTATCTTGTGTATTAAAATGATGAACTTTATGAGAAGTCATTTAGCCAAACTGCAATAAAATGTTTATTAAAATATATAATTTTACTTATAAAAATACAAAACAAATGACAATTTCTTTTATATTCAGGAATGGAGGGAGTATGTCCTGACCTTTTATGAGTCTTAAAATCAAATTCACCTAAACTCTTAATTAGTAATAAAATATCACTCTTACGAATCATTCAAAATATTACATTTTAAAAATACATCACTGTGTCAAAAAAAAGTTATTTAAAAAGTTGCTAGTTAATGTTGTAAAAAATTGCTAATAAAAAAAATCTCAGACCTCAACCATCCGAATTAGATTTATATTGTCAAGTTTTCATCAAAGTAACAAGCACTTGAGCATCCAAACCATGCTCATAAGTCATAAATGCTCTTTAAGCAATAAAATACTTTTTGAGTATGTCCTGACCTTTTGGGAGTCTTTTAAATTAAATTCACCTGAGCTCTTAAAAATAAAAAATCACCCTTATATATCATTCAAAATATTACATGTTAAAAATAAAAATTCCATTTGAATATAGTATGATTATAAAGTTATGGAATCAGGGATTGTATAATTATTACAATTCTATGCGAATAATTTGTATTTTTTTGGTCAAACTTTAATTTGAACTAAAACTTGTCCATTTATCTTTTTCTTTGCAAATGGGTTTTAGAGACCGTGAGTCCGTGACCGTAGATAATTTTGTGAGCTTAAAAAATATCCCAGATAGTTTACTTTTCAATTTTGTCAAAAGGCACAATCCATGTCAGGATTAGAAGATAAACGAAAAATAAAATATAACTGTATATCATATATGTATATATAGGCATAAACTATTTTGCACTTGAGCGTATATACATGATATGGGATGAGAAGGAATCTTAAGAGAGATAATCTTGTTTATCTTCCGTGATACTATAAAAACAATTACTCTTGTAGGCTTGTAGCTAGAGAGATAGTGTTAGTTATGTTTTATTGTGCTGTAGTTATACTTACATTTAATTTATAAATGAGGTTTATTAGAAGGCTGCAAAAATCATATAAATAATATCATTTTTCCTGTCGTATTATGCGAGACCTAGTGTCATGTTAGTGTGTGATAATTTTTAATTAATTTTAGGAGTTGAAATAATTGCACAAGATTCTGGTTGCTAGCTAGCTATCCAAACTATCTTGTCTTTGTTTGAATTAATAAATCTGACACGTTATATTCTGAATTTCTCATAGGATCCTAGCATAGAGTGTTTGCTAAATAATTAATGAATTAATCTCTGCTCTGTTTGCTTAATGAAATAAATTTATTTGTTTGCCACCAAAAATTAATTATAAATTAATTATTTTTTTTCAAGGGCAACTTTTTCAAGTTAAAATTACATAACATTGGATTCGGACAAACACAAATCCAGGGGAGTTGTGCTATCTATGTAGCATTATTATTAATTATCAGACGAAAATAACAAAGTGCACAAACTAACAATGATTAACATCCTTCTTATGTAATTTTAGCTAAAATTACCAAAACATACAGTAGTAGCTTTAAAAATGGAATTATTGACTCATTAAAACCCCTACTTTGTTTTCTTTTTTTTTTTGTATGAATTGGATTCCTTATTTATATCGATATTGCACCACTTTATACAATACAATGATTTGAAATTTTTTTCAAACAATCTCTTTAAAGTGCAAGGATACATTCTAAAATCTAAATTTAATCTAAAAATTTAAAATATCTTAATTATCAAGAATTAAAATAAATAAGCCTCATGTAAATTTGCCCAGAGTACTCTTTTATATAAAAATACCTCAAATTTTAAATTTATAAAACATTAAACCCAATTCACATTCCAACTCTACTCGAGCAGTATGAAAATATATGTACATTTCATAAAAAAAAAAAATCTATATACAATTTTTAAAAAAGTTAGCGGGCCTAGCGCGATTTTAAAATTGTACTATAGAATTATAAATTATAATAATCACAATGCGGACAACGCCTTTTTTCTGTGGCCAATGCTATTCAAATGAAAGAAAAATTTGGATAGATTAAGTGCATCAGGTTATTTATAATATATTTAATTAAAATATTTTAAGTAATATAAATACAATTTTATGTGATATTTTATTAATTAATTTTACTTTTATAATAAAATTTACATTTAATTTCTTACCTTTTTTCTTTATAAGTAATCTATTGAAATTAGTTTGAAATGGATTAGATAAACAATGAATTCAGCATACGTAAATGTTTTAGGATATTGAGTGCGAAAATAAAAAAAATTGAATAAAAACCAAAAAACCACGAAACAAGCGATTATAATATATTTTGCCTCTTCTGTCACTTTTTGATTTAAATTTGGAAGAATCCGATGCTCCTGTGCCGGCCCGTCCCCACATTACCATGCTTCGGTTGGGAAGAGTGATCTGTGATTGATCATGATGACTGATATAGTGATGTGGAATTACTTGGCATTTAAATATTACAAATTATAAAATTAAAGCAATGATAAACGAGCCTAATATAATACACGTAAAAAGAAACTTGGACTCTAGTCAGGTTTGCTTTGGAAGGTGGTGAAATATTATTATGTCTATGTTAATATTTTATAAGCCAAATGAATTGTTTCTAATGTATTTTTAGTTAATATATGTTTTAAAATAAAATTTTTAATCAAAATTTAAAAAGGGAGAATGTGACAATAAAGTCTTGTAATAGGAATTTATGACAATTATATTCCCCGCTAAATTTTCTAAAACAGTATGAATATTAATTTAAATAATTGCAAGCAGGAATTTCAAATAAAAATTTAGAATTATTGTTAAAATTTAAATATATTTTTTAATTAAAGTTACTAAATTTATAACTGCTTAAATCAGTGTTTTCCATTAATTATCATGAATTCATTGTTTTGGAAATTTAAGTATTTAATATTATTCTTTTTTAATATTGGTTGAATTAAATAAAGATGGTTAAGCCAAATTGAAGGAATTTGATATTCCTTCAGCAAGGCTCTGGATTCTTTTTTTTTTTTAATGAAAAATTATATCAAGACAGTTACTCAATAATTATTGAATTTATGCTGGAACTCTTTTTAAAATTTCAAGTTAATCATGTGAAACTAGAAGCAGAAAAGATTTATACTTGCAATATTGCAAGAGTACATGTGTAATTTTTTTATACACACATTATATATTCCTTCTGTCATAAATTATAAAATATTTTTTAAAAGATTTGGTGTTTCAAAATAAAAGATACTTCAAAAAAAAAGATTAATAATACTTTTTCAATATTAAATAATACCTTTCCTTTCTATTTTTTTATAAATAATGTATTAAATGAAAGGTGTTTTTAAAAGTTTATATTTTTATTTTTTAAAAAATAAAGTTGCAAAGTATTTTTAATGATTTTTATTAATATATATAATTTTATTTAAAAATATTTTATAATTTAAAATGAAGAAAGTATTTTTTTTTTTGGGGCTGAACACACGCCATATATAGGAGCCATAGATAATTCAAATTTTATCAATTTTCCATTTTGCACAGATTTTATTAAGCTTGAAGTGTGCATTTAATTCAGCGCGCTTGGCTACGTGAGGGGTTCGGGACTGGCAAAGCATTGAGCACTTGCATGCATCACTTGTTTACGGTGAATTCCATGCATCCACGGCACAATTATATATATTGCTCCTAAATTATAAAGTATTTTAAGACAAAATTTTACATACAAGTAAATATCTTTAAATATATTAATAATATTATTTTTTTAAAAATATAAAATTTTAAAAATACTCTTTATTTAATACATTTTAATTTAAATAGAGCAGAAAGAAAATTAAATGAAAAGAGAAAAAATAATATTATAGTGAATCTATTTAATGAAATCTTGATTTTTTTGAAGTGTTTTATGTTTTAAAATACTGAATCTCTTTTATAAATATTTTATAATTTGAGACGGAGGGATTATTGAGCCTCAAAGATGCTTTAGGTGTAAAATTAAAATCAAAGTGGACTATTTAATTTTTTATATATTTTTGGCCAATAAGTAGGTAATAGAATGGGTTAATTAGGTGCAACAATTTCAGCATCAATTGCTGTTTCTTGAGGCAACAGAGATTCCACAATTAATTGCATACCACGCATACCTTGCAGTCTTCAGCTCAACTATGCATGGGGATCAGCCACAAGTTTACTCCCACAATAAATGTTTGCATTGATTATAATAATTACTTCTAATTATGCAAACCTTAATTAAAAGGTGACCACAGACAAGCTGTCAGTTGATCATGTATTTTTTAAAAGGTTAAATTGTACAGAATTTTTTGAAGGGATGATGATTTTGATATTGAAAATTTATGTATACTCTCTTCATTTCACTGCATTTGTGTTTTGAGGTTATTGCACACTGATTAAAAAAATACAATAAATATGTTGAAATATGATGTACTACTCCAATTCCTATTATAAAAGTCTTTAACCACTTTATTAAAATTAAAGAGAAGTGATTATTAATTTTGTTTGGAAATGGAATGTGTTTCCAATTTTATCCATATTTCAATGAACAAAATTTACTTTTGTATTTCATTATCTTTCACAGCAATGAATGAATTTAAATGGGAATAATGTTAGAAAAAATTGATTGATACTCATCAAGTGACTTATAGCAAGGACCATCCATCTCTTATGAGAGATGCCTTATGATAAGTATGTTAGCTTTCATGAGTTGTTTTATATTCATTGGAGGTGTTTTGTTAGAGGTGTTTTATAATAAGAAACAAGCTTATCAACTGAGCATGTCTCTTATAAATTATCTTTTACTTTTCTTTTTTGGCCATATATACATCAAATGGTTTTTATTATGGATATGTGTTTTTTCCACTGCATTTGAAACGATAATCGCATGAGTTTAATTAGATGTATTTCTTATAAAGATTTTTTTTCGCATTCGTATAAAATTGAACTCAAGTCCTTATTTTTAAGCAGTCATGGCCCCTTCTATTAGGAATCAATTTTAGTGCTCATCATTCAGATGAGCATTGGAAGCTCATCGCCTCTAAATCGTTTAGATCTAATTTGAATAGTCTGGACTTATAGCATTTTACTTTGATTTTTTGTAAAAAAAAATATTTCAATGAATACAGAATATAAAATAAAGATAATATTTTAATTGTCATTTTTTCAAAAAAAAACATAATTTTTTATTTAAAAAATATCAATTGAAAAATTATAAATTTAAATCATCCATATTAGATTTGAACGATCAAGAAGCAATGAACTTTTAGTGCTTATCTGTATGATAAGCACTGAAGCTGGTTTCCTTCTACTAAGACTAACGCTTATTATTATTTTTATAAGTATTTTTTTATTAAAGATAATTTTATTTAAGACATCATTAAATATTAAATGTTGGTGCCTTTTTTAGTGAAAATTCCAACTTTAATTCACCATGTTGTGCTGGAAGGGAAATAATCAAGCACATGAATCTAAGAAACGGACCAATTGATCCGGCGTAGCCCAAACCATAATTTCAACATGAAAGCCCGGTGAAGCACAAGTCATTATTTTAACATCAAAACCAAAAGACATCCGTGGGCTGAACAAACTACAACTAATTTTACTCTGAGGTTAGGCCCAAAGTTTGTTCTTAAATTCGTTGCAGACCAAATGTGGATTTGTTGTAACTAAACTCACAATCCGTTACATTGTTAATTAATATTAAATTTGTCAATATATATATATATATATATATCCAATTCCCCCCTTACCGGCTAGGGAATGGAATATAAAAGCTCAGCTCACAACTTATGAGATCACTTATTAAAATTTTGAAGAGCAAAAATGAAAATCATCACATAACATCTTATTGTCAAAAAAATCTGATGATGAGTATTCTATCTGTTCAAAATTATACTCCATCCATCCAAAACAAAAACATTTTCTCTTAGTTAATTTTAGTTCAGAATATAACTTAGTATGTGTAAAAAAAAATGTTTCTCATTTCACTTATTACATTCATTAACCTAAATATTTATTTAAATATATCTTTTATTTATTATAAACATAAAGTGCATTAGTAATTGAAATTGGGGATAAAAAATTGTACATATTTTTATGGGAATGAGAGTTTCATTGATATGTAAATTTTTTTTCAAAAATTAGTAATATTTTGAAGGGAATGAGATATTTTTAATTAACTTTTTCTTCTCAAATAAACAGTTAACATCATTAAAAATTACCTACTCCTTCTATAGTCATCCTTATTTAACAGGATATGTAAAAAATCTCAATAATTTTAAATATTCATTTATTCATTGAGTAAAACTTTTTTAAAAATTTCATAATTATCCTGGACACCATCAAAATGTCTTGTATTTTTAAAGATGGTAAATCTACGAATTTCACTTGCAGTTTTGATCAGAACGAAAGAAGTAAAAGGGGAATTGAAATTTTTTTGATAGATATAAAATAGATAAGTTTAGTTGCAGTTGTCAGAATGGAATATTTTCAGAAAAATTATATTTAAATCTTACAAAAAATAATTTATTATTAAGAGATCTCATAAAATTTATATAATATTCTCAAATCTCAAATCTCACACTTTTTATTAGTTGACAAGCGCTATTTAGAATTGGGCAATTCATATTTACAGCTAAAAAAAATTGATAACTTATAATGGTAAATTGTGAATGTCAAATGTCTTTTTAAAAAATTTCCTCAGGCTACAGCCACGAGCACATGCAATATTATTACGACGTGTACGCAGCCTTTTCATAAAACTCAAACAGGGCCGAAGCAATGAATATTGAATACATTTGCATCATAATTCAATACGAAGAAGATTCAATTCCAAACCACGTGGCCTGCCATTCACCAAACTCAAGATACCGTCCTTTGTCATTTGGCCGATGCTGAGGGATTCTGTGACGGAAAACATGATAAAGAATCCAACGTCCATTTTTGAATCTCTTGCTTTTTCCTTCGCAAATTTTGGACCTCACAAATTTCGCCTCCTTCAGGTTCACACACACGTCACCCTTGAGCATCCCCACCATTTTCTCTCTGCACATATTTTCTTTGTGTCTTTTCACGAACACTTCTTCGCCTGCGTCCTTCACTTCTACCTAATTGGCTTTCTTCAGTGCCTATCTCTTATTCTGTTCTGTTGAAATTACTATTGTTTGGGTTGATTTGAGATTGTCAGGAGAGGAAAAGGATGGTGGGTGCTTTATCTGTTGTGGGGGGTTCATCAGTCATGGACTCGCAGACTTCTCCATGTCTGTGTGTGGATGCTTTGCCTACGACGAGTGTGAATCTCAAGAGTGGAGATGTTATTCTGTGGAGGAATCCAACGGAGAAGAAGCAGATAGTGAAAAGTGGGGCCATGGATTTGAGAAGTTCCTTCATTGATCCTGGGCGAGAGTGGCGGCTCTGTGTTACCAAAAGTTGCAAGAAGCAGCGCAAGGGACGAAAACTGGCCGTTGTCAATGAGCTCGGTGGGCAATATGAGGACACTTTTGGTGATGTTAAGATGGTAATGTGCTTGGTTCTCGTTGATGACTCTGAATTATGGACTTTTTAGCAAAAAAAAAAAAAATCTGATAGAATTTTACGTTTTTAATCTTTATTATGGTCAATTGACTTCCCTTTCATCACTGTTTTGTGTCACATCGCTGTGGTCTGGTCTCTGCTCATGACTTGTTCAAATAGATATTAGGCAACAACCAGAGCATCTTTGACGTTGCTTCTTTATCAAAAATGTCAATCATTTGGAAATAAGTTGCCTCATAAATTTAGAAGACTGCTAGTGCTAGTTTCATGAGCACATTACTTTCCATCTGTTTCAACTTAAATAAGAGAAGGCATAATGCAACTGGTCCAAACTACAAGAGAAAATTGCAATCTGCCCATTTTTATATTTGTAATCAAACTGATGTCATTTTTGGATACAGCAACTACTCAACTATTTCACTTACAAGGCTGTGAGGACTGTTCTACACCAGCTGTATGAGATGAATCCACCCAAATACAGGTGGTTCTACAAGTAAGTACAGTATTGTTCTGTAGCTAGATTGCTTCAATGAAGATCTTCATGTTGTATTGTTTTCTGGTGTAGAGCCAAGATTTGATTATAAGGGGAGGCGAAATTGAAGGCATCACAAAGTTTTTTTAAATTTGAGATGGGACTGAAATGTATAAAATCTACGTAATATTAAAAAAATGTTAAAAGCTTGAGGTCATGTGCCTGTCAAAAGTCGCTGACAAACAGTGGTTGCTTACATGAACTGACCAAGCAGGATCAGTATATAATTTATTGGACTTAAATAAAGAACAGGTTCATCAGGCAGGTCTTCCATAATAAGATTCTCAATTCCCTTCAAGGTTGAATCAATCTGTCCAGAGATCAGCTTAGCTCAAGCACCTCTGTGGAAAGTCTCAATTTTTGTTTTACATCTCCGGTTTTGCAATTTCATCGTAAAGGTAGTTATTTAGCTAAATGTTAGTTATTTTGTCATGTTGGCAGTTTTGTTGTATCAAACAAGCCAGAAGATGGGAAACTTTTTCTCCGAACCCTTGGGAAGGTAGTCTTTAATATCCAGTTAATTATTTCATCTGTGGAGAATTTTCAGAACATAGTTGTTTTATGGCTTTGTCTTTTAATATTAAGCACACTGTATTTCGCAGACTATTCTGTTTACTTTCACTCAAATTTGCTTTAAACCATTCAGGAAAAATCAGGAAGAATTTCTTCATCCTGTATATTTAGTGTCGGCTTCATAACTCCTAAATTGAAGTGCCTACTCAGCGATACTGTTTACAGATTCGTTCACTCCATTCCTTCTCTCATTTCTACATAACATCTTCCCCTGATAGCGTTATTGCAAAATTTTCTCACCTAGATCCCTTAATATTACCTCTAGACAAGTTATCGTTTATTTATTTTTTCTCACTTGTATATGTTGTTCATACTGAAGCCATCTTCAATAATTCTTCTTCCCTTAATCTTCTTTTAAAGCAACTTGTCCTCTTGATTGTTCTCTGCATTTCTGAATCTCACCACATTTCATCTAAATGGTCCAAATACTATAAGATTATCCTCTTCAATCTTTAGTTGTGAAATAAATACTGACCAAGATTGCACAAACACTCACCAGGCCGCCCTTTGGTTTAGGAATACCTTTTTTCATTCCGCGTTTCCTTACGTAAACTTAAAAAACCTAGTCCTATTTGAGACGACCTTATTTCTTACTCTGCAGAAGAATTGATTTTTAGAAATATTTTATTCTAAACACAGAAGCATAAGGTAGAACCATAGCTAGATGCTTTGCTTTCCTTTTATTCTTTGGTGCCAAAAGCTAAGTTGTTATCCATTAAAAAATGAATTCAGCCTTGTGCCGTGTTATAGTCTTTTTCCGATGTTGGTAGAACGTCTAGAACAAAAATCAAAGGGATATATCTCCCATGAAAGTGTACCATGGTTGTATTAACATGCCACTTATATCATCAATTAATGTCTTGAGATTATTCGGGTTGCTGCTCACACATCCAGGCTACATTAAAGGATTTGAACCCTGGACACTACTTTTATTCCTATCTTATCTTTATCATGTGGGTCATACTTGTTGGTTTCTGTTAATATATATATACATATATATAGAGTTTAAAAAAAAAGGCTATTTACTTGACAATTATATTTCACAATGTTATATGAGGCCCCCTCATTTGATAGGAACACCAAGAACTTGCTGAGAGAGTGATGGTAACGCGGCTTCATCTTTATGGTAAATGGGTGAAGGTAATGGAATTCCAAAAAATGATTGACATCCAAGGCATTTAAAAGTAAAGCTTTTAGGAATCAATAGGTGGTGTAAGTAAATTTATTAGTTGTAACACTTTTCCATTCATCATCTTGCAGAAATGTAATCATGCTGAGATATACCAAGAAATCTCAGACGAGAACTTGGAGTTGATGAGGGAAAGGCTCATGGAGACTGTAATATGGCCCTCAGATGATACAAACACAGAAAAAATTGGCTGATAACAAGTCAGGACTTCTCATCTTACCTTTTGTTTTGCTTCCTTTCTATGTTTTATCCTCTCCTAAGCTTAGGTATAATTTTTGCTTCAATATGTAGTCCTTTTCCTTCAATTGTGAGCTCTGTGTTCTGTAAATTGTGTATATATATCCATGTTTTAGATAGTTTGATCCGAAGGATTTACAAGTGGCCTATATATTCTGGGCAACTGAGAACAGTATTTCCGACAAACCATTTCATGGCCTGAAAAATGGCTCTCAAATCTCCCACAAGCAATCTAAATATATAAAAGTCTCACAAAATTACAATTTCAGGCTCTCAAATCTCCCACAAGCAATCTAAATATATAAAAGTCTCACAAAATTACAAAATTATCTTGACGTTTCATATTTTTCGTTGAAGTTGTTAATTGTTGTTGACTAGCTGTAAGAAGAATTATTTGTTTGACAACTAAGCAGCAATAATTAACAATTTTAGCAAAAGACATGATTTCAAAGTAGTGTTATGATTTTATACGACTTTACTGTATTTAGATTGCTTGGATGAGATTTAAGATTGATTTTCCCAACAGTAAACTCTTCTCAATCTTTAAATCAGTTTGGTTGACTCAATAAACCATAACCATTTGAACTTCCAGATTCTTGTTAAGTAAAATTACTGATATTATTAGTACGATTTGGTGTCCTCATGTTATCATCAGTGGAAAGTGACAGAACCGGGAATTACTCATTTACATCTTAAAAACCATATTTGTTCACATTTCCCTCTTTTGTGTGAAAATATTTTTTTTATAAAAAAGTTCTTATTTGCCAACAACAATAATTATTGATTAACATTAAATGATAATAAATTTGAAAAAAAAAGTCAACTATTTAACTGTCAACCTTAATTGATATGTTTTAGTTTATATTTAAAGCAGAGGGAGTATAAATTAATAAATTTTAACCGTGAAAACTTCAAACTAATCATATTTTCACCAGAGACTCGCTTGAAATCGCATTGCAATGAATATCCTAGTCTACCAATTTCATGCTCCGTTGTGCTTTCTTAGAAATTGCTCCAAACTCACAAAACCAGGACTCGATATTTTCTTGTCTTCTTGATATCTAAGCATCCTAGTTAAGATATGTATCGCCACTAAACATGATTATTTTCTAATCTGGAAGCCAATTTTCAAAAGCAATAACATCTAAATTAAACTTTCATACAGCTAAATTTTCACCATTACATCGAATTTAATGAGATAAATCTTGGTCTGATGTAAAAGCGTAAATTACGCAAACAGTTGAAACTCTAAATACTTTAGTATAAAATCAACGCTCAAGATTTAAGTTATAGAGTTGTAAATAAAATATAGGGACGCACAATCACTCAGGACTAGGCCCTGAAAGATTTCAATAGTGCCCAAACTTTTCATTAAAAAACTAACATCGTCATTCTAGTTAGTTCTGACTTTAATTGCTTAAATTGATAGCAATAAACTTATGATGTCTCAGACCTAAATTTGTAACAATAAACTTTCAAGGACAAGCAAGGAGGATGTACCGATAAGTATGAACACATTGATAGGCCGGGTGGGGTTGGACTAACATATGCGTCATGCAATATTTAAAACACTGGAATAGCCTGACTTATGGTCCAAATCAAATAGGAAGCCTTTCTCCTCTCTTAATTTGATTCGAACATGTGACATGTGGGAGAATCATTATTCTCAACACCAACATGACACCCGAATATTAATAATAGGAAGCCTTTCTAGTAGAGCCAGAATATAATGTGTGTTCAAATAGGAATGTTGCAGGTTAAAAAGTTTAGATGAGTCAGGTCTCGGTGGCTCCCCCAAACTAGGACAAGCATTCAAACTCAAAGAGCACTTACAAAATTATTCACAAATCACCCATCAATAAGATCCTCACATTGGTAACGAGATTTAAATCCACAACCTTCCTATTTGATTATAGTGTGTTTGTGTGTGTGAAGCCCAATGAAGCTCTCAGACGAAAACCCAAAAAATTTCCCTCAGGCTGAGGCATTGGTATAATTTGAATTAAAAAAGAGGATCGCCTAAGGGTAAAGGCTGTCTAAAGCCTCTTACCAACTATATTTGACTGACAAGCATAGATGCATTGTGAGTTCACGACTCTTTTAGACGCGGCTTTTTTCAAGGATATGTAATTATTTATGAGCAATCAAACCTTCCGAATAAGCAGCAAGAAGTACCTTCGAAGCATATAGAGTGGCAAAAAGCAGTTGGGACATGTATGACCAGAGATCAAGTAATTCATGAACCATAAAAGAGAATGAGCAATAAAAGAATATCGGAAAGGTAGAAACACCCTCAATGACTATTCTTTGACATTGCTTAATCAGAATTCCACTATTTATCAGAAATATAGAAAGTTCTAAATTTGACATATACCACTAATATGGTACAACACTAAAGCCAATAATCCTATTTTGATAATCTGACTCACAAAAAGTAATGCAAAAGGCATGGAATAAAGAAACGATATTTTCAGGGTAACCTGGTGAGGAATGCTTACAAAATTGAAAAGCTCTCGCACTGCTCTGACTGGCTAAAAAAAGTAGACAAAGCAATCACCTGCAACAGGAAACATAGAAAGCACACAGCAGTTTGACTCATTAAAACGGCAGTAAAATAAAATAAAGAAAATTGAATAAAAACATACAATTGAAATGTAGTATTAGGCACCATCTTGGCATACAAAGCTGAAGTGAAAGATTAAGCCAAGACAACAAATACTTGAAACTGAACAAATAAACATATAATCTCAATCAGATTCTCAAAATGAATTCATCAGCTCATCGTTTTAAATTTGCTAGGCTCTCAGTAAAGCATTGAACCACAACCAACCTCCCAGCAGAATTTGTGCTACATATTTACCATTGAAAGATTAAAAAGTTTCAAAATTCATATATAAAAATTCAGCTGTCGCCCTCATGAAAGTAAAATAACCAGAAAGGAACTGCTACGATAGACAATAAAGAAGTCATTAAAGGACACCTATAAACATTCCGTAGTGTAAGCTGAAGTGCGATGGCTGAATACCTTTCATAGAAGGTCTGAAGGTCTGAACACAAGGGGGGAAAATAAAATTCCTATCACTATTTCTCTTCTTTGCCCGCACTTTAAGGGCTTGGAAAGGATACTTGAATACATTCAGCTTTCACCAAAAGGTAGAATCTGCCCAAGTGCAATTCTTGCACGAAGCTGTGTTGCAAGAATAAAATTGGTAAAACTATTAAAAATAAGTATCAGACAAATCCATTTTGTGATGAAATTTAAAAGACCTTCACATCCATGCATGGATCATTGACCATCTTCTTTATTCGAGAAACTATGCCAAAATTACGCAGTTTTACAACACGGCCCAATGCACCAGGACTTGCTGGATTAGTGAGATTTATTATGACCCAAACAGCTGCTGTGCATAAGCGACTGTCATTACTTTGCAAACACTGGTTGAGGAATGAGTTCGATCCGTCCTCTGCCTCAGGAAATAGTTGTTGCATAACAGCTTCCTTGTGAAACTCATTTCCACTTGCAATGTTGCAGAGTGCATACACCCCCTACATGGAAAATAAAACCAGGGACATAATTATTAGCTTGACTAAGAAAATAAAAAATATTCAATTATTTAAGGAATTCTTGAAATCAACTCCTATCTGGGGAAAATTTGCACATGGTACAAGTTATGAGAACATCTCTACAATTTCCCTTGTAAGGTACATATGATACAAGTCATGAGAACATTTCTATAATTTGCCTTGTAAGGTATTGACAATCAAATTAAATTTGGCAATCAATTAAAAGGCACATATGGTACAAGTTATAAGAACATTTCTACAACTTGCCTTCTAAAGCATTGAAAATTAAGAATCACTCAAAGAATTCATATCAGAAACAAGGTACAGCTCTATGATACCAGTAGAGCATAACAATCTACCTTATCAGTTATCAGCCTACAAAACAATTGGATTCAATAGTTATCCCTAACCTGTATCCCAATTTCAGCTTTTGAAGATTCTCGCAGTCGCCTTCCAATGGCATCAAATATGATACCATCTTCAGCGAAAGCATAATCAACAAAGTCTATGAGCCCATCAAGAAAGTTGCGAACAAGGGCTAGAGCTTGTTCTTGAACAGAAGACTCAGGATCTGCAGAGTTTACGCAATCAAGCACAAACTTTTTCATGGCCAATGATAAAAAGAATGTATTTCTTGGTAGATACCAATTAATCCAGGGAAAAAAACTGTCAATGGGAATCATTACCATGGATAAGGTTAGCTATCGAAGATGCAGTCAACTCCATAAAGACTGCTTCTTTACATGTCTTCTCTGCATGAAATACCATGTTCCTCAAGGCCCATACAGCATTCAACCTTAATGATGAATCCATAGACTTTGTCAATTGGACAAGCTCTTTAATGCCTCCACATTGTATGAATACTGACTTGCCAGGTGTAATGCCGGCCACTATGTTGCTGATAGCACCAAGGGCTGCTATCTGGATAACAACATAGAAAAAGGTTTGTTCAACTAGATCTCAATCAACTCAGAGACAATATCTGTTTCATTCTGGCAAATAATCATAACCTTTTTTGTATTATTTTTTTTATTTTGAGGGATAGCCAAATGCCTATATCTGTGGTATAAAAACTTTAAATGTTGTCAGAAATGATTTTCCTAGACCTTGGTGGTAAGCTTTAAATAATACTAAACAATTAAAAAAACAAAAATGGCCCTCACAAACAACATTTAATGCAAGATATGCCATAATTATCAATAGTTTTGAGTTTCAAGCATTAAGACTATCCTTTAGTTTGTTGTATGATTGGCAGATTTTTTTTACACCTTTCATTTCAGTGCATGAAATCAACAACTACTCATTTTAAGTCAAACGTCAATATAGATACAATAAGCACATACCTGGACAGAAGTAGACAAATCAGATAGTAGCTGAACCAAAGGAATCACAATGATTTCATTCATAAAATGCCCTGCACTCAAATTCTGAATTGCATTTTATATGAGTTAATTACAAAAAGATTTGAAAAATTAGAGTACCATACATGGTTTCAGGTTGCCTACCTTGATTGAGCGAGAGCTGTTTCTTAAGCAAATGCAAGCTGCTTCACGTACATTGACATTATCATTAACTAGGGCATCCACAACTAAGCTCAATACCTGTGTGTTTCACAAACATATGTTCAATGTTGAAAACTTTTCATCTGAATTAAAAGTATAGCTAGGGTAAGTCAAAAGCCTCATTAGTTATCACATCTACGACTTGCCATCATGAATTGAGAAAAAAAAAAAAAAGGCTGACTTCAGTTATCTACCAGTAGAAATATATTTTTGCATTGATTCAACATGTTGAAAATTTAGAAAATATGAAACAGTAAATTCATAGGAGTGCTACACTTCAACATTTACAAATCACAACATGGTTTAGGTAAAATGAAACCAGTGCACACAGAGTAATTAGATTAGTAGTAGAAAAAGTCATTCTCTTAAGTAGTTTATGAAGTTAGTAGTAGTAAAACTTATGCTCTTAAGTAGTTTATGAAGAAATACTTTTACAGATCAAATTATTGTGAGATAATACACTTAGCACTGAAGTGATAGATAAACAATCTGAGCAAGTCTTGATGGCAAAGTCTATTGACATTTAAACACCTATTTATTCTGACCTTAAAACTCAATATAAACACACCAGAAAGAAATATAAATTTCAGACAAAATCATATGGTCACCATAATTTATTTTCTATTTAATTAAAACCCAGTGATAATCTGAGAGTAATTCTAAAAAACTCCTTAACTAAGTGACTCAGTCAAACTATAGCTGTTCCATACAATCAAAGGTTAGGATGCATGCAAAAATATCGATGACCAAAGATATGCTTGGCAAAGAAATGGAGATAAATTATGTTCAAATTCCAACATGGCAAGATGCCGTGAGAAAAGGAGATGACAAAAGGGACAAGAAAACTACAGTGACAACATTTTGAAAACAAAGCTACTTGCAAATCGGTTGGTTCATGGACTCTCAATTAAATTTCTTGCCCGGTATATTATCTCCAATCAGCGATCATGTATCTCTTATTAACTTAAATCATCCACTACACATATGCGCAGCCTCTCATAAGATGCAAAAAAACTACAAGATATTAAGACTCGTGCTGAAACATCAAGACTTACTATAGAAATGGCTGGCTGGAGTTTCTATGAGTAATTTTCATCTCAAGAGAATTTTTCACCAATGAAAAAATCCATACATGTAGAGAAAAAATTAAAAAAAAAATGGTTACACTCAGCAAAAATATGAGACTTAGAATTATTTTGATAAATAGTCTCCAGGAAACAACCGACCTGCAGTGTAAGAAACCTAGACCGGCAGCACTCCAATTTCGAGCAAAGATCAGCCAATGCAAGAAGTATCCCTTCAAGGCGTTTGGGATTTAAAGGAGATTTTTGCAAGTGGCAGTAGAACTTATCAATAGCATTTGCCTCAAATGCTAGCTTATGCAAATCTTCCATCTCTGCAATTAAACTAGAGAAAGCAAAAGAAGCTTCATCTCCAACTTGACCAGGATCATCAAGGAGCTCAAGCAAAATATGCACCAATTTGGTCTTAATTCCTAAGTCTTGCAGATGGCACAAAGAAGAATTCTTAACACAAATCAAGCATGAGCAAGCAAGTAACCTTGTCCGAGAATATCTATCCTTAGTTAATTCAATAATGGAACTTAAAGCTCTTCCACTGTGAAGGTCCATAAATTTAGAGACAGCTTCTGGATTGCTTTTAAGAACTGCAGCTAGGGACTCCAAACTAGCATCTCGCTGACTTAGAGAACCATCAAGGAGGCTAATGATTTTCTCCAAGACACCAGCATAGCACAGCATATTTTGCTCTGCACTTGTCTCACATGAATGAATAACAATGGTTGCACCTAGCCCTGTGAGATTTTCATTCTCATGTTTCAATAGGTAAAGAAGAAATTCCATGTTTCCCTCTTGAAAAAAATCATATTTTGGCGCTAGTTTTGATTGATAAATCATTCGTAGAGAACGTGCAGCAGCATCTACAACCTAAAATAAAGAGAACAAAGGCTTATCATATGGCATTCAAAAACAATATGCAGTTGAAAACAGGAATATAGAGGGTGCCCATAGTAGACAGTAATATATTATCAAGGATCAAGACAGATATATCTTGATCTCTACCTACAAACCTCATTAGAGGGGTGAAAATGATACACTTATTTTCTTCCTCAGTCTGCTTCCCCTAGCATCAAAATGTAATAGTAGAAATTTATGACAGATGGGGCCGTGTGGCTGAAAATTAGCATGAGTATATAAATTGGTTATAATTTACACATTATGTATAGTTTGCAGACAGCACCAAACACATACAAATGCATATACACTCTCACCAAGAAGTTAAAATATGCAATATTGCCTGCTAAAGTCACAAACTTGGAAGTAAATACCAGAAATATGAAATAACATTGGAAGCTAAAATGCATTAGAAGCACCAGCTCATAATGATCCCATTTGCCCAGCATAGTAACTGCTCACTTTACAAATAATATACTTGGCTTTTGAAATTTTATGAAGGATTTGTGGCTAGAAGGCACATGAATCCCACAAGAATTAAAACCCGATAGTTCTCCAAGTTAACAGTGAGCTAAGCAGGGATTAAAACCAAATAAAGTAGAAAGAGAAGTAATAACCAATGCATGTAATATTTGCTACAGGGAAAGGAAGGAAAGAGAGAGGAAAGCAAGCAGACCGATCAGAACTTCCAATATCCTACAATAATTTGTTCCTCAGTCCAGACACAAATGATATGAAACAGTGTGAAAATTAGGATGAACATGCATGGTTAAAGGCACACATGCTCTGTGGCCCCAAATAAATGAAGCCATGGCCTACTAGTTGAAATTTAATTTTGACATTAAAATGGTACGCATAAGGGCAAAATATAAATTATGGATGGAAAACAATAGCCTCCCATTTGATTTATTATCCAGAAATTCTTCAGGTAAAAATTGGAGTTCTCAAGCCCTTGAATTTCTGCTTCCTCTATATTTTTCCTCTTTGGTAATCCCTCTGCCTTACATGCACTTCCCCAATCTCCAACTTGTTATAAAGCAAGCAATAGAACTACATAAGTAGCTTTTGCTCTTGCACAATTAAATAGGACAGATAAATGTTCCTACCATGTAATTTGAAAGAATATATTGAAAGGTGTTCATCTTAGAGGTACAAACCCATCATTATTTGAACGACTTGATTCCTGTGTAGACCAGTTCAAATTACAATTAAATTGAAAGGAACGGCACAGTGACAGTAAAGAATTTTATTAAGAACAAGATTTATCATATTGGCGGCAGTGGAAGAAGCAGGAGGCAAATTTGTTTATTATTAAAACCATAAGTATGTCCAAAGAGATAATTCCATTCAGAATATGGATGAGGCAGAGACCATAAAACAGACCCACTGATCAGATAAGATGTATAATTCACTTCAAACGAAACAAAAACGCAGGTAGATTTGTTACATTTCTCATGTCTTATGGATACTCAAGCAATAAGGACTCTTCAAACAAAGGAAACTCAGCAGATTGTGGATCAAATAATCCACATTTCATCCTATAATTTTTAATAATGCACTGATCACAAACTAGTGATCAGCCAACAGGTTCAGAACGTAGCAATTTTAAGTGCCCATCTTTGACAAACGGAACCGGAAAAGGGCGGTTATAATTAATTGAATTTACCTTCTCGTCGGTAGCAGAGAGGAGCCTGAATAAACGAGGTAGAGCGCCGGCATCAAGGACAGCACGTACGCCAGCCTCAACGCCACAGGCAAAGCTGCCGAGCACCGCCGCGGACTGGACAATGAGGTTGGCACCGGAATCGGAATTGGCGTCAGCTTCGGCAAGAACAGAAGCGACAACGGGAACTGCACCGAGCTTGATGTAGGAGAGCTTCTTGGTTCGGTTGCCGATGATCTTGTTCTTTACCTCTCTGATAGCCTTGAGCTTGATTTCGCAATCAGTGGAGGCGAGGCGGTCGAGGATGGGATCGGAGGTATTGGAGGAAACGGACGGTGTTGCGGTGGAAGATGCTGTAGTGGTGGGCATGGTTTCCTTCGTCGTCGGAGTCCCCGTCGCTTGTGGCGGTGGTGGAAACTCATGCAAACCGGAGACGAAGAAGCGAGCTCCACATCCACAACCACGATGACACAGAGAGAGAGAGAGTGGTGTTTCTATTTTTCTTGTTTGTCTCTCTCTCTTTTTTTTTTTAAATTAATCTTTAGATTAGTGGTGTCTTTAACTTTCTATGAAACACTGAAATGGAATGTACGGTTATTATCAGAAGGGGGCGATGCCTGGTTATACGCATGAAATTTAGCCCAATGCAAGAAATCCAAATGCCTGTGACACTATTTTTTCCAAATAGTATAATAAAAAAAATTTCTAAGAATGAATAATACAACCCTATGAGACTATGACACTTATACTGGTATGCATTATTTTTTTTAATAATTTTCTATCACCATGGGATTTATTTGGCCAAAAAAAATCATCCTGACATTGACATTAAAATGCAATTAGTTTATCACCAGTACTTGAATCAATTGGTTAGTAGCTTAGCTAAAGTTCTCTAACTAGTTTGAATCATGTGTGTACAGCAACAATCAAATTCTTTTTAAAAGATATGCCTCCTCAAGAAGCGTCCCCAAATTAGTATTGTCAACCATGTTAGTTTGGGTGAAGAACCATGATAGTAGAGAAGGCGGCAATTGATTTTGTTTGCTCTATTCTTTAATAAAAGTTTTGCTTGTCCTTAATTCATGCCCTGTATGGACAGATTTTTATTTTGAACTCAAAAGGCAAGTATAGGCGCAGTGTAAACTATGAACCCCCCTCGGGGGGCGGGAGAAAATAAAAGAGGTGTGCTGAGCCCCTTTTTTTTCGTAGGTAATGGCGGGTCAGCCCATAAACAGAAGTGATGACTTAAAAAAAGCCTAACAAGAAAAATAGAAAGCCAATGAAATAAAAGCGTATTAGCTGATTTTAATAAATATAATTCATATTATAGGATCAAACTAAATAAATAATTTAATATTTATTATATTTTATATTATAATTAATTTATTATATTTAACAATGATATACCATTGTATTTAATAATAAATTTTTTGTAAATTTTTAATAATTAACTAATTGTATATTAATGATAAACCTCTTCTATATTAATATAAACCGACAATATTTTTAAATTTTTAAAAATTTAGTTTATATTTTTCAGGTACAATATTTTTTTCCAACTAATAGGCCAATTTATCTGTCCTTTAATTAATTTTTTATATTTTAACTTTTTAAAACTTAATGTTATTATCTAAGGTAGTGTTTGGTTTAATTGGGAGACGAAATGGAAAAAAAAAATAATTTAAGAAACTTGAGAGATTTTAATAATCACTTTAAATTCTCTTAATTTGAAGGGGGAGGGTTAATAGGCTTCTTCTCTCCGTCACGCTGTTTTAATCAAATGAGGAGTGGGGAGTTATCTCTTTTATTTTTCTAAGTAAATGAGGGGAATGAAAATTTTAATGAATTTGTTTCCTTTCTCCTTTAAATAGGTTGATTATTGTAAATGATGATCACGTAACAATTGGAAAGAAGTCTATTTACTTGTAAAACTTAAATTTTTTCACAAAATATAATTTACAAATTAAAGATAGGTGAAAGTTCTCTTCTCTAATTGGATTCATGTTTTAATACTCTTGCATTCAAATTCCCACAATATAATCAAATACTATAAAATATATTAAGAAAAAACATACCTTTTAACCTCTATACTTTGTTTGTATTTTACTATAGGTCTAAACACTTTTTTTAAACATTTTGAATTCCTACATTTTTATTTTTTAATATTTTACGTTCATTTAAGATCCCTATACTTTATTCATTTAGGGATTTAGAACACCAAAAAATGAAAATGTAGGAATTCAAAACATTAAAAAAAGTGCAGAGACCTATAATATTTTATACAAGTGAAATGCAATGATCAAAAAGTATATTTTCTCATATATTAAAAACTAAAATGATTGGATCAACTAATAAAGTTTTGTTTAATTTGTAAAGATTTGATACATAATTGACAAAGTTGATGATTTAAATTCTACTGTTAATATAAAAATCTTATTAATAAATGATTTGTAAATGTTTTTATAAGTATTTTTTAAATATAAAAACATGTTTTAAGTTTAGTGAACTTTTAAGACCACTCACATGAACTTAAAAAAAAAAAAATCAAACAAGCAAGCCCTTAATTTATTGTGTTCACGTTTTTAGGCCAAACAATTTCATGCACTGCAATTATTCCATCATGCTCTTTTTTTGGTATTATCTTATCATCAATGATTCTCATTCCTAATTGCTGAAGATCTTAACTGATCCCTCACTTATGAAGAAAACGCTGCTGACAAATTGACAACTAAAGAATGAGGTTGCAATCTGGATTGCTAACGTGGCAAAGCCAGACAGGATCGTGCATTAGCGAGTGGCCAAGCCATATGATTCTTGCCGCGTAGTTTTACACGTCAGCCAGATATGCGCAAAGATTCATTCCTTCCTCCCCCTCTTATTATCCGGACGCCTGCTTCTCCAACATATTTCCTTTTCTGACAAAATATTTGCCAAGGATAATATTCAAGAAAAACTATAGTTAAGTCTCATAAAAAAATATATTATTAAAAAATTTTATAAAATATTATTAAGTTTTAAATACTGCATATTAATAATTAAATAATGGTTATTTACAATTATGTATTTGTAAATTGTCATTTTTTTTATAAGTTTTAAATGGTCATTGACAAGTTATTAATATCTTTATTTAAGTTCTTAATATATTGAATTTAAAACTTAAAAGTATTTTATGAAATTTATAAAAAATTTTAATAATAATTTTTTTGTGAAATCTGAATATAATTTTTTTCAATATTTAGAAATAATATGGTTCATCACCCTTTTTTGTTTAACATCGCCCTTGTTGATATTGATCGATATTAGTATTGATTAGATTCATTTCTTCATAAACTGTACGAAGTATAAAAAAAAAAATACTGCAGCTTCATATAAGCTTTATTATAAAAGTTTTTTGTATCGATATTGAATCGGGGTCAGAAAAACGTATCGATATTGATTAAAATGTTTTTGATACTTTATCTTCCATTCTACCAATCCACATGGAACTGCATTCAGAGCACCGCGTCCTCATTAGCTGGCCCTTCATTTTAATCTTATTTGATTCCTGTTATTTATTAAAATTAATTTTTTAAATACCTTTAATATTATATTTATTGATATAAAAATTTTAAAAATTTAATATATATGTTCATTATCAATCTGGTTAGTACATTTAATCTAACAGTCCAATTTAATATTAAAAAAATTTATATTTTTACAATTTAACTATACAAATAAATTCTATATAATTCAGGTGTAATTTAGATAACCTAATTTAATATTAAAAAATTTATAAATTAACCATTTAAATGTACTCTTAATAGTCTATATTTAACATTTATTTTTTTATACTTTTTATTTTAATAAATATAATATTTAAAATATTTAAAATTTAATTTAAGTGGACAGTAGGAATTAAATAAGGCTAAAATGGAGAGCTAAGATTGCTCCTGGCCTTAATGAGCATTCAATACTTATCACTATGATGAACACCAAATGCAGATGCCAATCCAAATATTCAAGTATAGTTTGAGAGTCATGCATGGTATTAGTAAAAATATGCGAGAAGTCACATTTAGCAAAAAGCAATATTAGTAAATGATCATTATTGTGATGAGCATCAAATACAGACGCCAATCCAAATATCTAAATATAGTTTGAGGGTCGTGTATGGTATTGGTAAAAACATGTGAGAAGTCACATTTAACAAAAGTAATATTAGTAAATATGTATGTATGCATGTATGTCTTGTAAAAACAATAAAATTTAGAGTTAATGAACAAAATTTACCTTGAATATTGCGTGAAAAACGTCCTAAACTCAAAACTCTTAAAATGTGCAAAGTGAACTCTAAATTTTTAAATTCATAACAAATTAAACTTCATCATTAATGTCATTACTATTCACTCAATGGCGCACAATTAAAATGTTGTTATGTCATTTTTAATTAACATTACAGACCTTAAATTATTACATAAATGGCCTCATGGATATTGAATTTTGAAGTTTAAAGCAAATCACCCCTTAAAACTTTGAAATTCAGAACAAATTATCCTGACTATTTATGTATAAAATGTTAACTATTATGTAAACTAAATTAGCCTCAACGTGATTCGCTAAGGTGAATTCATCGTTAGTCACAGCAAAAGATTCATAATTTTGTGAAATGATTTTTTTTGCCTCCTTTTTTTTACAATGTTTGTCAAACTATTGATATCTTATACTTCCATATACTCCATAACTTTAACTTAGTCTTATTTTAAATATTATTTATTTATTTAATAATAAAAATTTGAGATTTCATTTGAAAAAAGTTTAAGTATCAAAAGATTTTACAGGCGATAGATGCAAAAGCCGACAATTCCATTAACGGATTTCAAACTCAAATTAACTAGTTAATTAAAATCTTAAACTTCTTTTCAAATGGGATCATAAGTTTTCACCATTAAATACATAAATATTATTTAAACTAAAATTAAATCAGAGTTATAAATTATATGAAATTATGAGATACTAATTGTTTGGAAAACATTGTAAAAAAGGGGTCAAAAAAATTATTTTACAAAATTATAGGTGATTCACCATTGTCAATGATGCATTTATTACAACGGACCACAATGAGACTAATTTGGCCTCTATAATAGTCAATATTATACACATAAATGTGAGTAATTTGCTTTGAATTTTAAAGTTTAAGGGATAATTTTCTCTTCATTTCAAAGTTTAAGGGTCAAGATGCTACTTTCGCAATAATTTAAGGTTTGTGGTGCTAACTAAAAATGACACTTCAACATTTTGATTGGGTCCCACTGAGTGAACAGTAAAGGCATTAATGGTGAGTTAATGGTGGGGTTTAATTTACTATAAATTTAAAAATTTAAAATTTATTTTGTATATTTTAAGAGTTCATGATTCATGATATTTTTTCTACAATATTTCAAAGATTATTTTACTCATTAATCCTAAAATTTTATTATATATTTTATTTTAAATTTTTAATTTATTGATAATGATTAAAAACATGTTTTAAGAGTCAAGAGAGCTGAGAGCTAT